CACGTGGCGCCGGCAGAAGGCCAAGAAGGGGCGGCAGTCGAGCAGCAGCGTGCGCTCGGCCTCCCGCGGCTCCCGCAGCAGCGCGCCCAGCGCCGCGCACTCCAGCTCTCGTGCCTCCTCCAGCCCCATGGCTCCGGCCTCTTCCTGCGCTTCCCCTCTGCTCCCCACTCCTCCCTCTCCCCGAGCTCTCCGCGCGGCCCCGCCGTCTGCTCCGGCAGCTGTTGGCAGCCCAGCCTTAAGTAGCCTGGCCCGGCCCCCAAGCCACCATACAAGGGCAGAGCAGGAAGGCGCCAGCGCCGCCCCTGCGGCCTCATGCGGGCGGGTCGCCCGGGACTGGGGGCGGATGCGCTTGGGGAGGACCGGGGACTAGCTCCTGAGAGAAGGTGTGTGCCGGGGGCAGTGCGGCCCAAACACCCCCTCTTTCCGCCGCAGCCTGGAAGAGCGCGCCCACCCCCTTGGCGTTCTGCGCGCTTCTCATGCCTTGGGGACTGGCTTCTCAGATGCACATCCCCCTTCCCAGGGACTTCGGCTGTGGTGTCCCTCGCCCAGCTTCCTCTCTCTTTTCCCTGTGCCTTCCAGGATGTTCCACTCCTCCCCACCCCCAGGAATTTGTCACAGCAAAAGTTGACTTGTGCCTGCTTCTACCAGTGATTTCTACACTGAAGGGTGCAGTCTCTCTTCTACTTGGAGACCTTGGGCCAGAGGGGTTGATGTCCCCTTCCCCCTCCCCCACTTCGGGGATTGGGCAGCAGGTTAGTGGCCAACCTAGGCCAGAACATGGTTCTCTGAGGCCAAGACCCTGGGCTACCGGGTGAGGATGACTCCAGCCTGGGAAAGGTGAGAAAGGCTGGAGCCACGGTGAGTTTCTAGGTAGGAGTGGTGCCAGGCTTCTTCCCTCCCTGGAGCCCAGGGAAACCCCAGGGGCCCAGGGTGAAGCACTTCCCCAAGTCACAGGCCAGATCTGAAGGGGAACTCTGCTGACGCTGCTGGGCTCTCCGGGTTGCCTCTGGGGAATTTCAGGAGCCTCCCAAGGGGAAGAGAGAAAAGAACTACCAGAAACTGCCCTCCACCCCACCCCTCCCCCACTCAGGCCCCAACTACCTGCAGCAGAGCCTCAGAAGGCAGAGCCTCAGGGCTAACCTGGAGCTAGGCAGCAAGCAGTAAGAAGGGGAGCTCTGCGATAACACCCCTTGTGCCTGCTCCCACCCAGCCACCAGCCTTGGGGCCAGATGTGGAGACCCAGGTGTGCCTAGGTATCTGAACTCCCAAGCAGCGAAGTTCTGGTGGGTGGGGACAGTGTCCTGGAGCTGCCCCACCTCCACCCCTAGCTGTGTGGGATTTTAAAACCCAACCCTCTCTGCATCACTGCCCCTGAGTCAGTATTCTGTGCTCTTCATAAGACCCCCATGTCCAGACTGTCCTGGAGGGCTACGGCTTGGACCTGTGGGCATTGCCCTGCCCTTCACTGGCTCGACCTATCTATGTGTGTTGGAGCAGATCTGTATGCAATTCCACGATGTTTGAGACGGCACAGAGCCCACAGCTTCTGTGTGCCGTGGAGGAGAGAGGGGACGGGGCAAAAGAGAAGCCCCAAGGATGACACTGATTCCTGGGGTTGGTCACCTACTCATGCCTCAGTGTCCTCATTGATAAGATGGGAGCTCATAACAGCAGCTGCACACTCACACTGGTTACAAGGCTGTGAGGTCACACCACTGCCTGGGCACCTGCAGTGCTCTATCCCTCCTTATCGGGCCAGTCTGGAGGCTGATGTGGCAAAGCCACAGCAGAGCCAGGGAGTCTGGGCCACAGATGCCAGTGGCCGATATGGGCCTTATCCTTGGCATCAGCTGGCAGATGACTTAATGGCTGATTCCAGGGGCAAATTACAGAGCACACGAAAGGATTGTCAGGCCCAGGCTTGCTGACCACGGGGCTGGCGTCACCCGCTGTGCTGGGAGCCCCGGCCTTCGGCTCCTTGGGGGAAAGAGAGAGGACTAGGATCCAGGCTCAGGAGGACAGCAGCTGGGCAGTGTGGGGGCTCCAGCCCTGGAATCCATGCTGGCTAAGCTTGTCCCCCTGCCCCTCCATGAAAGTGGGAGTGCATAGCCGAGGCTTTGCTCTAGTGTCCCTAGCCCCAGGGCCCTGCCCACCGCTCTGGGCAGGAGCAGTGATTTCTGCCTGCGTGACTCTGTACGTCACCCCTGCAATGCCACTTACTTTGGGGCTGTCCCTTTTCAGCTCTGGAACACAAGATCAAGGAGGCCTGATTTCACCATGAAGGAGGGGCTCCTCTGTCCCCATTCCCAAAAACTGGGGGAGCCCCCACCCCCATTACGGGGTGAAAGCCTGAGGCCTGGGGAACAGAACTTAGCCCACGTCCCACCCCACTTCTGCTCTGACTAACAATCCCCCAACCCTTGGTGAGTCACAGCACGGCTGTCTTGTCCCCTTTGCCACCTCCTCGAGGACCACCAACCACTTCCCTACAGGGGCGAGGCAGGGCTCTGGGTACATGGGTGAAGGGCAGTATGTGGAGGGGATCTCGTTAGATGGCTGCCCACAGGCTGCAGGTCCCAGAGGAAGGACCTCGCTCCCATCAGCAGATGGTAAGGGGTCAGCAGCAGGTGTGAGCCAGACTCAGAAGGTTTTTCGGTTTGTTTTCCTGGCCTGGCTGTTACAGAGCAGACACTATCAAATAGGTGTGGGGCTCAGCTTCTTTCTTTCTTTTTTTTTTTTTTTTAAATTAAAATACCCAACTGGAACACATGATGATTCAGTGTTCTTTGTAAGCATCAGCTTGGACGGCTGGCTTGGCATCCCTGGGCCCCTGCCCTTGGGATCCCCGGCCTTTCCTCACCCCACAGTACAGCCTGAGCCCCCATGCACAGCACTTTACAGTTTACAGTCACCAAACTCCCAATTCTGTGCTGTGGTTGCCTGCCATTGTGCTTCCCTTCCTCTTCCGTCTGTCAGAACCTCTGCCCCAAGCAGATGCCCTGGGGAGGGAGGAAGAAATGAAGAGGGCAGCTGGGCTCCTTAAGCTGAGCAGGTATGAAGGTAAGAGTGAAGAATGAAGAGTGACGAGTGACGGCCATCCCCAGCCCCGCCAGAGGAGTGAGTCAGGATGACATGAGGTTTCCTGTGCCTGGCCTCTGCCACAAGGTCGGCCACCCCCACAGGCTCCTGCCAGACAAGGACGGTGACTCGTGCCCTCTCCACAGTGGTGGACTGGGGGGATAGGGTCTACCTGGAGCACCTAGTCCTCAGCAAGGCTGGCTCAGAAGTGGGCCCATGTGTGGCTGAGGGGCTGGGGCCTGTCACCACACGACTGTCACATCTCATGTGTATGTAGGCAGGAGCATACTTGGGCAGCTGTGCTGGACACAGTGAATACGACAAGAAAGTCTCCATCTGAGGTCATTGTGGCTTTGATGCCCCAACAATATTTGCTTTTCCCCATTTTAACAAACAGGCTCAGTGCGTTCATTCCAGATCATGCATCCCTTTCTACGCCTATTCATTTAGTTGCTCAGCCCCTCATTCAGAAGATATATTCTGACTGCCTGCGATGTGTCAGGCGCAATTACGGGAGCTAGGGACACAGCAATAAATCACAAATCACTGCCCTTCAGGAGCTGACCTCACTGTTGCAATAACATTTATTTTTGCGATTATGTTGTATTCACGGCAAGCAAGACTACCTAGAGTAATGATATAGTTTCCTCTTACAATAAATTTTGGGTTCGTAACAACTGAGTTGGCTGGCACAGATGATACCAAAGATGCTACTGAGAGTGACAAGGTAGGAGACACTAGAGTTAGGACATGTTGCCACAGAGAGGGTCCCCATAGCCCCTCACAGTTTTGGCACAGTACCTTCTGTGGGGTCTGGTTCTCCCTCCTGCCCTGGTCTCCCTTCACGAGGAGCACGAGATGCAGAGAGGAGAGGAGGCCATGCCTGGAGGAAGGGGACCTGGGCTTGGGGCCAGAGAAGACCCCCTCTGTGGCCTCTTCCCTTGGCACGCACCCACCCGCAGCACACCTGCGGCCCCCAGCCATGGCAGCAGTGAGCCAGCCCATTGCCATCCTGTCATCTGGGCACCTCTGCGCCCAGGTGGCCAAGGAGGGAGGGGTCGTTGCTAAGAAAGGACTCTGTCACCTATATAACAGTTGAGAAGAGGCAAGGGAGTCTCAGAAATGTGGCCACTGTGGTCGGTCAGAGGGCGCATGGCTGTGTCAAGAGTACTCCTGGTTTCAGTGTGGGGTGGCAAGGGGACCTCGAGGCCCAGAGGGGCCCAGACTGCTCTTCCCGCCTTGCCACCCCGACACTGTTACCACCACCCGAGACCAGGCTAGGCTACCACCCCTATAAAGATCAGTAACACCAGCAGCTGAGGGGCTACGGCAGCAATAGTGTGCTTCAGGGAGCCCCGGGACTCAGGGACCACGTCACTTGGGCTCAGACACAGTGGCTGCTTCCCCGCTGTGTGGCCTTGGACGAGTGACTTAACCTCTCTGTGCCCTCGTTGAGCAGTAGCGAGGACCAGCACTGAGCCAGGTGCCTTCCAGGCATTACTGCGTCTAAGCTTCAGGCCTGGGTGGCAGCCTCAGCACCTTCACTTTGCAAACAGGGAACCAGGCCCAAAGGGGTTGGGCTGAACCCAGGCCACACACCTGGAGGTGGGAGGAGGACAGAGATTGGAACCTGGCTACTCAGCATAGTTTGCCTGGCCCCTGGGCAGGGTCTGCCAGGTCCCCCGTGTCCTGCACCCACCCCTTTCGCCAGCATACCCCTCCCACCAAGTCCCATTGCTCTTCATAAAGACACCTCAACAACTCACACAGAGGGCTTGCCATGTGCCCAGCCCTCTTTTAAAACCCCAAAGAGCCCTAAAAGGTGGTAATTATTGGCACCCAAAATACAAATGGGGGACCAAGGTACCAAGAGGCCAACTAACTGACCCAAACTGTCATGGTTGGTAGATGCTGGACCCAGGGTTTGAACTCACAATTTTGTGTCCCTCCAGCCTGCCCCTGAATCCCGGTTCCCCTACCCGACCCACCCAGGCTCTTCCCATCTGCCTCCACCTTCTCGGCTGGGATTTGGCTATACGGCCACCATCCAGGAGGACCTCGCTGACTGGTGCCATCTCCTGGCCCAGCTCTAACCTCCGGGGAAGGCACG